AGGCCTCTTTTTCCCAAGTCCAAAATCAATCAACTAACACAAAGCTCCTTTTCTCCATTTTCGGTTAGCACCAGTCCAGCCAAAAAGGTCCGGCGGGCTGAGTCCCTGAAAATTGCGGTGCTGGAAAAAAATTGTCACAAAAGCTTGCCCGTGAAAGGTACCGGTGGTTCAAAAAAAAAAAAAAAAAAAAAGAAACAACAGACCCAAAGAAAGGTCATATGCTCTTGGCTCCATATTATAGGAAGCATCAAACTGCTCCCTTTTCAGCCATCAAATCAACACCATACAAAAATCCACTCCGATGAGTAGATCCAAAATCCAAGCAGCTTCCGTTTACCTCTATTCAAGACAACGAAGCACACTTGGCATAAACCAATCGAACAATGAAACAGTTTCGTGTGCGTGCATGTGATGATATGCGTGCGGGTGGAAGGGATCAGAAAGGGGGGAAGGGGGACTGGAGCGGAGAGAAAGAGCTAGGTGAAAAGGGGATTACGGTGCGAGGGGCCAGCACGCGAGAGAGAGAGAGAGAGAGAGAGAGAGAGAGAGAGAGAGAGAGAGAGAGGTGAAAGGAGAGAAAGAAAGAACATATGGTAATCTGACTGCATTTTGCGGTCTGATTTTATTACATTAGTAGAGAGAGCTTATCAGCCCAGACATTCCGATGAAACTCATCAAGTGACAAATACATGGATGTTTTTTTTTTTTTTTTTTTTAAAGAACGTCTGCTTCGGTGCTAGTGGTGCTGGTAAAAGCAGACACCGCTAGCACCTGAGGAGGGGCTCCATCTATTGGTGGGGAGACAAATACATGGATGGTGAACTAACACATTCAACATATCTCTCAACGCTTCTTCAACCCATGGCTGCAGCCCTTCTCCTGCTATCTGGCCACAATTGCATCCCGTGACAATGTGTACTGACCCAGTCAGTCTCTTGCTTCATCTCACCCCCTGCCCTCCCATACACCCTTCTTCTGCTCGTGGCCTCGATTTTTTTTTATTTTTTTTTTTGCAAAACAAATTTTGCAAAAGAACTTGGTGGATTTCTCGATTCCCACGTGTCATCATCCTTGTGCAGGGGCCATGCTTATCTTCTCTGTGTACCATTCCAATCTTCTTTCTCTTTAAAGAATGGTAATGTGAATCACGGATCAGATAATACTACTATCATGTTGTGTTCGCTCTAGCACAGTACCTCCTAATGTCCTGCACGCAAGAAGATTAGCATGGCCCACGACACATAAATCAAGAAATGGTCCAAATTCAAAAAAAGGGAAGAAAGGCTCCGGAATTCGCTGGCCATCCCCTCGTCACCTACCATCATTCACATCATCATCATCATCGTGTACGATCATCCACCCCAATCTCTCTCTCTCTCTCTCTCTCTCTCTCTCTCTCTCTCTCTCTCTCTCTCTCTCTCTCTCTCTCTCTCTCTCTCTGTGTGTGTGTGTGTGTGTGTGTGTGTGTGTGTGTGCGAGAGAGAGAGAGAGGCGGGTGAGAACAGGGAACGGGGCACGTGGAAGCCGGGGGAAGGTGTCTTGAGGGTCAATAAAGCATTCAATCAATCAATCAGCCAACCAATCAATCAACCATTTGGTTCGATTCGATTCGATTCGATTGCTTGATTGATCGGGTGGGGGGGAATGCGACTCCCCCTCTCTCTCTCTCAACCAACCAATCAATCAATCAACAAATCAATCCACCAATTGATTCAATCCAATTGGTTGATTGATTGATTTTTTGTTTGTTCAAAAAGCCGGCGGGGAAGTGTGCAAATGTGCGGGGATGAGAAGGGAGGGAGGGGGGGGGGGGGGTGTTCAATCCAATTGGTTGATTGATTGATTTTTTGTTTGTTCAAAAAGCCGGCGGGGAAGTGTGCAAATGTGCGGGGATGAGAAGGGAGGGAGGGGGGGGGGGGGG